CTTCAAACATTAATACTTCAGAGGCTGGATATTTATATAGGGCTCTGGTATTTATATTTGATGAGATCTGTCAACAACTGATAGACAGAATATTTTTCAGCCGAGCACATTAAACAGGACAATTATCTGGCTCTCACGCTTATTCCCTCTAGAAACACATTTAGGCTACTTCTCAATTGCTGATTGGGGAGCGGCGGGGTGGGGGGGGGAGGTGCGAGAAGGATTCTTTGTTCTGAAACAGAGGAATAGATTAGTGTCCCAGGAGGTGGCAAAGAACGGTACTGTTTTTATGAATACTAAGTACAAAAAGCTACATTGAGGTCAGGACTACAATGTACCAAAGGCAGAACATTCAAAGGGAAGCAGCGGCAGAGTTCAGGGCTCAGGTTGTAAGGACGTAGTCTCTGCTTTAAAGGAAAAACAATGAGACTGTGCCCTTTTTGGCCGCTTGATGATGAATGAAGAAGACTTGAAAGATTTCATTTCCTTCTCCAAAAAAAGAAAAAATGAGGGGGTTTTTAACCTTAGAAAAAGCAGAAAGATTAAATCTGGTCTTCCCTGTTTTTTTGCTGGGTGTCTCCTTGAAAGACAAGAGAACTGGAAAGAGAAGGGTCTCAGCCCTTAACTGAAGTGGGGAAGAATCTTTAAAGACAGCTTTTCTCCTGAGTGTTTGTCAGACCTTTGCGTTAAATCAATGTGAACAAAAACAAACGACCCCAGATCTTTGAACAGTCTGACTAAAAAAAAACCTCCCTCCATGGCTCAAGTTTCACTTCCTTGGTTGCTATGTGGTGGTGTTATCCTGCTAGTTTTCCAGTTGTCCATAAAGTCCTCCAGGAAAAACAGTAGACAAGATTTGACTGTATAGTGTTAGGTCTTTATACATCATAAAGAAACAAAGCAACCACAGAGCACTAACAACCACTGGGAGTTAGGCACCTAAATAACTTTGAGGACCTAGCAGTAGGGCCCTGCTCCTGCTCTGGGCAGATGGACCCTTGTTTCCATACAGAGCTGTCTTGCATTGGGCAGGTACTTCAGGACCATGGCTGCAGGAACCGTGCCTACCTGACACGCAGCACATTGAATGCTAGTAACTCTTGAGGGCTCTTGTGCGCTTGCCCTCTTAACCTCAAAGGACACCGGGTAAGGCCCCCCCAATCCTGCAAGTAGATCTATGTCCGTCGAAACCCACTGGTATCAGTCCGGCATGGAAGAACTGGCAGGCCTGAGCCTTAATTAGGAGCAGAGGTAATTGAGAAATGAGGTGGTGTTTCAAATGTCCAATCGTCCAGCTTTCTTCAACGTTTTCCAACCAGCTCAAAGTAAGAGCCTGTTGTTATGTTTCAGAACATACAAATAGAGAAGTGAGATGAAAACATAAAATAGTCTCGCTGGAAGTTGCAACGTAGCACTGCTTTGTTTCATAGAATTCAGAATGATAAAAGCAGAGAGAGACAAAGCAGGCTGCTCCCAGAGGTACAACTTACCACACCTTGTTACTCTAGGCTCCCTGGCTGCAAACTGACTGCTGTGTTCATGCTTCCCTACAGAGGCTCCTGCCTGCAGGACCAGGAAACCCCTGAGCATTTAAATTGATAGCTCTCCCATGTTAATAGTTTTCCATACACCACACCTGTGAGCCCAGTTTTCCAGGGCTTGCAGCATACAGACACACACACATCCATGTAGCCCCAAGGATATTTTTAAAGCTATATAAGTTCTTGTGAATGTATTTTTATTACAGTAGCACCTAGGAGTCCCAGCTGAGGGTATGTCTACACTCCAACTGAACTGCAATTGGGGGAGGGGATTGAGCTTGGATAGGAAAACCCAAATTACCTTTTGTCTAGCTGGCGTGGCTGAAAATAGCAGTGAGGACACAGCATCAGCTGTACGAATTCCCTCGCACTCCGGGCTATGTATGTGTTTGCATTGCGAGCCTGGCCTACCGCGTCTTCACTGCTATTCGTAGCTTTGGTAACTAGATTAAAGCTAATTTGGGTATGCCTGTGTGGCACACCTTCCATTGCAGCGTAGGCCTGCTCTGAGATCATGGCCTCATTGTGCTTGGAGCTGTACAGAGACGTAGTGAGAGACAGTCCCTGCCCAAGAGACCTCACAGCCTAAATAGCAGAAGGGTAAATGACTTGCCCAAGAACACACAGCAGGTCAGTGGCAGGATTAGAACCCAGCATGCCTAGCTCCCCACTGCTCCAGCCACCCAGCCTCGATTTCCCCCTGCTGCTGTGACTGATACACATCCAGTAAGAAAATTGAAGGGGGCCCCCCAGGTGAAATTTGGCTTGCACGGTAGTTCATCTGCCCACCCAAAATAACCCTGGCCAGTCAGAGCTGCAGATGTTTGTCCCCTCCCCACCCACCGGGGAGCAACCAGCTGCCACTTTAACAGACTCGATCTAATCCCTCCAGCCAGCCTCATTGTTGTGTTTGTTTTTCCTTAATTCCTATCGGCTCAATTTCTCTCTCTCTCTCTCTCTCCACCTCCAGCTGCCCTCGCCTTTAATTCCCCCCTCCCTCCACTTTCCCTCTCTCCCCATCTCGCCTTTATTTACAACCACCTTCTCTCTGGCGAGCAGAGCCCGTTTGCAATTTCACACCTCAGGTTGGGCTGGGCGCCATGGAGCAGCCGGCATGTCTAGCCGGAGACAACCAGGGGAGATGGGATGGAGAAGGCTAAAAAAGGGAAGAGATTTAAACCTCCCCTCTGTGCATACCAGCAACTTTCTTTTGCCTGCTCAATTTCAGCTTCTTTGATCCCTCCCTTTTCCCTGGTCAGTTTCACTAGGCTCTGGGGGGAATTGAATCTATTGATGCTTCCCAAGGCCAGGCTCCCTAAGCACCAGGGATCTGGAGAAGGGGCATTTTCCCTCCTTCCCCCCCTTTTCCTGTTGCAGAGGATGACACTTCTTTAGGAGCCAGGTAGGGTGACCAGATGTCCCGATTTTATAGGAACAGGAGGACTTGTGGCACCTTAAAGACTAACAAATTTATTAGAGCATAAGCTCTAATTTGTTAGTCTCTAAGGTGCCACAAGTACTCCTGTCTTTTTGTGGATACAGACTAACACGGCTGCTACTCTGAAACCCGATTTTATAAGGACAGTCCTGATATTTGGGCATTTTTCTTATATAGGCTCCTATTACCCCCCACCCCCTGTCCCGATTTTTCACACTTTCTATCTGGTCACTCTAGCAGGCATGAGGGGTGCTAGGTATCTGGCCCTCCAGCTGCTGCCTCGCTTCTTGCTGAAGGTCTCTGTAACCTTTGCAAACTAGAGGGAGCTGTGCATGCGAAAACCTTAGGGCCAGGAGGAGGAGGCGAAAAACCCTTTGACGTATCAGGAGCAACGATTGCAAAGAGGCTTCCAGACCTTCCAGCCACCCATTTTTTTTTTTTTATCTCCCGCCTTTCCCCAAATCATCCCCAACAACCGCATCCAAACTGTGACCGGCTTCCTGAAGCTGCAGCTCCTTCCAGCCTTCCTCCCCAAAGTAGCCCGCAGGTCCCTGAAAACAGGAAGGAACTGATGGATGCAAAAGGCTGAAAAGTCTCTTCCCACTCCCGCCCCCTTTTCTTTGTGCAGTTGCCTTGCAAAAAGCTACTGGTGGTGGTTGGCGATCACGGTTGCGATTGTGTTGTGTTTGCAGCTGCTTTCCTGGATCCTGTAAAGGAGACGAGCTCTCAGGGAAAGCATCATACAACCCTCTCAAAATCTAACAAAGGAGAAGAAAGCTGTCACTGGACTCTTCCAAGCTAGACTTTTGCTAAAGTTTTCCAGTCCTGCTTTTGTGGAGGGAGGAGGTTTGATTATTTTTTTTTTTGTAAGATCCCTGTTTATTTGGGCTTTGGAATAAATCACTGTCTTTCCCCCCCCACCAGAAATAAAAACTGAATGATGGATGTGTGCCAATGTGTACTGGAGATTGTCTTGTTTTTCCAGGAATTGCGTGTATGAGGGTTTGACACTTCAGTAACCTTAACTGTAAACCAAGGAAGTTTCTGGTGGTGATGGGAAATAAATATATACACAGCTTCATATCTGACAAGAAAATGTAGCTGGGATGCGATTCCGTTCCCTGGATCTCTTAAAGGATTCTAACTGGATAGACAAAGACTTAAAAGAACCGCTGGTTATATATTTATGTATTTAAGAGGAACTTTGTAAAGGCAGTTTTTAAATGGACATTAATGTGCCTGGCTGGTGTTTGAACGGATGAGGTGTTCATTGTCTAGGGTTGTTTGGGGTTTTTTTTTTTAAATGTTTCTTTCCAGCCCATAGGAAATTGTCTTTGCGGGATGCTCTATTGTTGCTTAGATCTGATCGTTCCATAATGAACTGGTAAATTTCTTTTCTCTCTCTTTCTTTCCCCTTTAAAAGCGCTAATGCTTTGTAAATGCTCGGTATCGCAAATCCGTTTTAGGGATTAAAACCGATCTCTTAGAAAGACACTCTGGAGCTTTCATTCGAGACAGGTTTTTGGCTGCATGTGTCTATTTTTTGAAGCTCAGTGCAGGGGAGATGACATTTTTTTAAAAAAGACTTTTTCTCCCCTCAATTTTCCATTGCATTTGAACTGGTAATAGATTGTGGAAACCTTCCGTGATCCAACCCCACCACCCAGATCTGGTTTGATGTAAGTATTTTATTTCATAGGGTCTATAGGATCTCCAGACAGGAGTGTGTTGCTTTTCGTTTGGCGTTAAACACCTTTGAAACCCTCTTCTTTTAAAGGGAGAGAGGACATTTCATTTCCAACTCCTGGAGGAGCTCGCTCTGGGATAAGACATCAGTCTGAGACATAAACATTGGAGACCTCTGGATGCGCAGGGTCTCCTGAAAGGAAGATGAATGACGCCCAATTTGGATTATAAATCATGGGGACCCACTAAGGCTTATCTGATGGCAGCTTGAGAATTCTTCCCAACCCACTTGTTCTGCCCAGAGAGGTTGAGATTTTGTTGTCAGGCTGGAACACATGGCCAAGTGGCTGAAAGATTACTTGAGTTTTGGGAGCAGGAGGTCTCCTCCACAGCCCCCCAAGCCCGACTACACGGAGAGTGAGATTTTAAAGGCTTACAGAGCGCAGAAGAGCCTGGATTTTGAGGATCCCTATGAAGACAGCGACAATAAACTGGAGCCGGATCCTGGGGGGTCGGGCTCCCCAAATACGGCAGCTGCTGGTGGCTGTGCGGAAGGGAAATACACCTCCCCAAAACACAGGCTTATCAAAGTGGAGTCCAAAGCTCTGTTGGCGACGGCTGCTGAGGAACTCAAAGGCGGGCAAGAGCAGGTAAGTGCTAGGAGCAAGGGGATGTACTGAGCAGGTGTCCTCCAGGGGTCTGATCACACTCAGGCCTGGCCCTCTCGGCCTGCGGTCACATCAGATCTCTCATGCTAAGCAGGGATGGGTCAGGTTGCTGCTTGGATGGGGTTTTCCAAGGTGCTGCATGCAGTGGGATGGGTGATTCAGTAACGGGTGCTCTTTGCTCTGAGTCAATGCTGTTCTGGCCGTGGTAGGGTGCACCGTGCAGCGGATGATGTCCAGCTGACCCTGAACGCTTAGCGTAAGAGCTGGCATGTTGGGTTCGGCCCAGCAGCCTAGCCAGAGGCCCACCCTGGTGAGGACGCTGGGCTTCCCTGAATTCACCCTGATGTTGCAGTTAGATTCAGCATTGTTCACTTCCCGTCCTACAGTGCTTTGTGGTGAGCTATTATGACGAAACAGCTGCTGGTTGCGCCCCAGAGGTGGCTGCATTTTGGCGGTGTGTGAAATTACTCCCCAGGGGAGAGTTTGCTGAGTATTGTGGGATATACCCATGAATTGGAGAAAGGAAGGAGGGAGGGGAGGGGAGGAGAGGGCCACAGCCTGGGAGCGTCTATCATGGGGCTCCATGGGCAGTGACAGATTTCAAGCGGCGGCCACGCTTTTCGGTTTGTTTCACCTTCTGGCAAGAAACGTGCAATAAATGATCCTTCCTGACAGCATCAGGGAAAGAGCCGACTTGCTGGTTTCATAGCTCCGGAAAGGAGGACTGGGGCCCAGGAGATCTGGAGTTGATTCCCAGCTCTGCCACCAACGCCCAGTGGGACCTTGTGCAAGTCCCTTCCCCTCTTTCAGGTCACGGTTTTCCATCTGTAACATGGGGCTAAAACAAAACGCCTTCCTTTGCCACACCCTGGGTCTGTCTCGTCTGGTTAGACTGTACACTTTTCAGGGCTCGCTGCGCGTAGGTGCCATGAGGCCTGGTCTCATCTGGGGCGTCTCGGTCCTCCTGGAATCCCGGTCATTATTAATGCTATGTAACACTTTCCCAATGGCATTTTCTGTATTGTTCCTCTGACAGTCACTGAGCCTCATCTCTCCAGCCCAGCTCCATCCATGCTAGTCCTCCGGAGCTGAGCATGCTGAGCTGCATGGGGGGACGAGGGGGGAAGCTTTGGAGCATTACTCAGGGTATGCCTGGGGTTGTCCAGCAATCACTCCTCCGTGGCCCATTCTGGGCATGTCAGTGGGGCAGGAACAGCGATAGGCTACGTCTGTAATGGGCCTGGATCAATAGGGTTGCAACCTGCTGCATTCAGTGGTCCTCTTTGGAGCAGTGGATCCATGGATGTATTATTCTGCCGCTGCGTAGGGGTAGCGGTGCCAGCGCCTGCCCATGGAGGTCGTGCCCATGGGCACCGATGTGGGGACACCTCTGCTCCATCCACTAGACTCTGGACGCATCCTTTCCATTATCCGTTGAACGGTGGGCTCTAATGTTACATGAAGGAGATGGGGGACGCTGTGGGTACGTCTACCCTGCAGTCAGGAGGTGCGGCGGCGGGACGTGTAGCGTACCCCAGTGAGCTTAGCAGTGAAGCCGCGGCAGCACGGGCAGAGGCCCAGGTTCGCTGGTCGAGCACATTCCGAAGGACCTGGGTGAGCTTGTACCCAGGATTCTATATTTAGCGAGCGAGTGTGGACAAAACCAGCTTGCGTATGTCTCGTGATTGCTGGGTAGACATAGGGTACAGAGCGGGGATTCCAGTGGGTGGCGCAGGGGAGTGGGGAGGCAGGACTCCTGGGTTCTCAACAGGCTGGGAGTGCTGCCAAAAGGAGAGATCAGCGCTGACCCCTCTGTCCGGGTCACAGATGGCGGGGATGGGTGTGCAGAGCCCTCGGCCAGTAGGATGGGCTGGCTGTAACACGGTGCAGCAGGCTAGGGGATTGTCAGCACATCAGTGAGCTCATGGAGGAGCGTGTGAAATCCAGACTGAAGCGCGAGGCGGTCGGCAGGCTCAGCTCCATGCCACTGCTGCTGGGATCGCAGGTTCCCGCCCTCCTTAGCACCCCTGCTCTCAGCCTTGACGTGAGGGAGGCAGAGGTGCCGATGGCCCAGAGGGATTTTTCACACCTCTCTCCACATGCACCCTCTGCATTCCCACCGCCTGTGTTTGGCAGTGGCAGCGCGTTGTGGTAGCCCCAGTGATTGCTAACGAACCCCGCTGTGGGAGAGGTCAGTGCTGCTCTCCCCAGGGGGAAGTGAGGCCCAGGGAGAGGGGACGTGACACGGCAGAACTGGGATTAGAACCCCCGTCTCCCCACTCCTCCGCTCTGCCCACTCGCCATAATTAAAGCATCCGCCATAAATTCCCAGCTTCAGCCTCTGCCTTTGATGGTTAATTCATTGGCGACAATAAGTGGGCGACATTTAATACCGGGAGCGACTGTGCTTCGGGTGCCAAGCTCCAGCCACCCCATGCCAGAGGCCAGAGGATTTCTGAGTGAGATCAGGTGGAGAGGTGAGCTGGGAGGTCGCTGTACCTGGCTTATGGATTCAGGCCATCAACAACAGACTGCCAGCTCACCTAACCCACACCCGGATCGTCCCCGTGACCCTGTAACGCGGCTGTTCTGCAGGAGGGCTTGGGCTTGAGGGCCGCTGCAGGTTATGTCACAAGCCGTTAGGAAGGTGAGCGACTCTACAAGCAGAAATAACCTACATCTGACCTTGACTGCATGAGATTCCAACCAGCCTGGGTAACAAGCAGCCAAAGGCTGGCAGGGGGAGGGGGGCTTAGGAGTGTCCCTTGAGTGGGTTACACGGAGGAAGAAAGCCCCCATTTGTTAGAGGTAGCTAATCTGCCGTAAGACTAGCTCAGCAGCAGCGTGGTCTAGTGGTGAGAGCAGTGAGCTGGGGCACCGGGGGTCTATTCCTGGTTCTGCCATTGCCCTGTCACGTGACCTCGGGCAAATCCCTTTCCCTCTGGTGCCCCGTCCATCCGATCTCTTTCTGGGCAGGGGAGGTGTCTCTCACTTTATGAGCATGCGGTGCCCAAGGCAAGGGGACCCTGATCTCGGTTGGGATCGCCAGGCGCTACTGGAATAATATGTTTACATGATAGTTCCTTGGTACGCCTGACACCCCCTAAGGCGGGTACGTCGTGGCCCCCCCACTTTGCTGATGGAGACGTGGACGCTGTCTGTGCTGCAGCTGGGGGTGTGTGATTGCACCATGTGTGGACATACCTGAGCTAGATTTGATCTAGCTAGCACGTACAGCCCCCACTGAAGCACGCGCTGCCAGTTCCTTTGCTGTTGGTGTCTGACCTGGCTAGATCCAAGCTAGCTCTGGCATGTCCCGGCCTGCTGTGATCACACGCCCCGCCTGCAGTGCGGACCTACCCTGAGACTTGCCCACAATCGGGGCCTGAGCTAGGAAGAGGAGCCAGGGGTCACACACCAGCATTGACTCTGGAGTGACTCTGATTACTGCTGATTTACGCCAGAGTACATGAAAGGGGACGTCAGGCCCCGTGTTCTTACCGTGATAATATCCAGCATATTTCTGCTCCTCCCCCCCTAAGCTATTCCTTGACCTTGTCTGTAATGTCCTTGGGGCTGTTTTGATTCCCTTTTGAACTGGGCCACGTGTTCCTCTCTGCTACCGGTCACCTTGAGTTCAGAGACAGTCCCTGCTGGATGCTGGCCTTTGCTGGCCATACTTCTCACTGGGGGAGTTGTTTTTCTTTAACTCTATCAGTGAAGTTGTTGCACACACACACTTTACATTCAGGCAGCGCCTTCCATCCCAAAGCATGTTACATAGCCAGGAAACACTCACCCAGCACTGAAATGCAGCCACCTCTGGGGTGGAACGCGGCAACTGTTTTAACAGCGCACAGCAACATTGCACAGGGATCACTCATCCACTGCTGAAATGCGGCCACCTCTTAGGTGAACGGTGACAGCTCTGAGAGCACACAGCAACACTGCGCTATAGTCCAGGGCAGGAGGTGAAAAAGAAACCAAACAGTCATTTCCCCATCTGGAATTTGACCAGGACACAAGGGCTAATGCCTTGCCTCTGGCAGAGAGCTCCCTGGGGTTTGTAATGAGCGCAGGTGCTCAGCACACTGGGGTTTGACAACTCATCTGAAACACGGCTCCTCAGTGCCCCATGGGCAGTGCTGACTCAGTAGGAAGTGCATGCACCTCTCCTGGTACCCCTGCCTCTTTTCCCACCCAGGCCTCATGCTGCTGGTGTGAGGAGATCAGCAGGAGGTGCTGTGATCGTTCGGGCTCGTGCCCTTTCCTCACAGTAGCTGCAGGTGCCAGTTCTCCTGCATCCGAAATTCCCAGCCCAGCTGCCATTTACTCTGTCTCCCCTGATGAGCAGCGGTATCAGCTTCTGCCTGTGCCCTGCGAAGGGGCAGGTGCCCCCGTGCCAATCGGACGGCTCCCCCATCTCTGATCCCCGGCTGCCAGGACCTGTCCCCCTGCTCGCTGCCCCCGACAGCGTGTTAGACGCGCTCAAACAGCCCGCGGAGGAAATGTTTTGAGAGCTGCAGGCAAATGAGACAGGCACGAGGAAATTGCCTCTTGAAGCAATTACCCTATTTCTCCCCTTTTGTGTCTGTGAATTGAGCGCTAGGGAATGAGGGGGATTGACAGCGCTGCGGGCCGATGTTTTCTTTATCCACAGAACGGGTGCATTCTGGGCTGGCACAGGACAAGACATGCATGGGTACACACACACTCACTCATTCACACACACACATTCACACACACACACAAACACACACACACACACACTCTCACTCACACACACACACTCTCACACGCGCACACACACACATATTCACGCACACACACTCACACTCTCACACACACTCACACACACTCTCTCTCTCTCTCTGTCCAGTCTACATGCCTATACCCTCTGACCTGGCGGAGCCGGGAGAGCGGGCTCCATCCCGCTGAGGCTGGCAGCGACGGCAGCGCTAAATACGTTCTGCCAGGTCTGAGATCACCCTGAGACCAAATAACGCCCTGCACTGAGCAGTCACCCGAAGGCAGCTTCTCTCAGGCCTCCCTGCCCCAGCCTGGATTCAGACCTGAACCCCAGAGGTGAAAGGCTCCAAAGCCGCATGGCCACGCAGTCCCGCTGATTTCTTTGCTTTCCATCGCCTCTCCACCCAGGGCGTAGCACTTCCCGTCTCACACTTGAGCCCGCTTGCTGCCTGTCTGCCTTCAGAGACGTGGGATCGGCTGTGACAAAGCTTAGGCCAGATCTTCGGTGGTATTTAGGAGCCTAACTCCCAGTGGGCGGATCTGGGTCTTAGCAGGGCTGGTGCAACCACTAGGCAAACTAGGCGGTCGCCTAGGGTGCCAAGTGGTTGGGGGCGCCAAAAAGCGGTGCCCTGGCTCGGCAGGGAGGAGCCGCCTTCCGGAGGCACCGGAGAGCCAGAGTGTTGGCTTGCGGGGGCGGCGAACCCCAGCCATGGAGGAGCCGGCGCGGCGCAGGGGGGCAGCAGCCCTGCAAAGGCGGTGGTGCCGCTAGTGGGGAGCAGCCGCGCCCCCCACCCCTTCTGCCCAGGCTGCGGCGCGGCACCCCCCCCCGGGGGCTCCTGCAGACTGCAGCAGATGCATGCGGGCACCGGCCCCCATGCGCCCCCCCAGCTTCCCCCTCACTGCGCTCAGGCTTTGCGGCTCCCGGGCATGTGAGCCTGCTCCGGGAGGGGTAGCGGCGGCAAGGGCGGGCACTGGGCTCACCACCACCACAAGCCGACGCTCTGGCTCTCCGGTGCCTCCGGAAGGCGGCTCCTCCCTGCCGAGCTGCTGCAGCGGCCCAAGCCCGGCAAAGCCAGTGAGTGGACTCGGGGCGGGGGCCGCCGGGGTGGGGTGGGGAGGGGAGGGCTCGCGGGGGGGAGGGGGCTGTGCACCCTCCAGGGGGCGGGGAGAGGGGGAACCTGGTCTGGGGAGCAGCCCCTGGGCAGGCTGGCCCCTGGGGTCTATAAAGGCTTGTTGGGATTTACCCCTCAATGAACCGATGTGCGGGGGGGTGTGGGGGGGTGCAAGGTGGAAGTTTCACCTAGGGCGCAAAATATCCTTGCACCGGCCCTGGGTCTTAGTGCCTTCCTTCTCCATCACACTCTGCCGAGATCACCCAACAAACCCACGGGAAGCATGTGAAAGGCAGGCAGGTGTCACGAGCCCCGTGTCACCGATGGGGAAACTGAGGCAGGGGCTTGCCCGAGATCACGCAGAGAGTTGGTGTCAAAGCAGGAAGTAGGACTCAGCGCGTTCCAGGCTCACATCTCCTCTCCTTCTCTCTGCACTTTTCACCTGGCCTCTGATGAGATGAGCTTGCTGGTGGCCTCGGGTTCGGGCTGCTACCTGGCTCTGACCGGATTCCTAGTTTAACTCCCATGTCCATAGGGAAATCATAGACCGGTAGGGCTGGAAGTGACCTCGGGAGGTCACCGAGTCCAGCCCCCTGCACTGAGGCAGGACCAAATAACCCTGTTCGTTAAAACCCCAAATGACGGGGAGTCCACCACCTCCCTTGGCAGCCTGGTCCAGAGCTTCACTCCCCTGAGAGTTAGAAAGTTTTCCCTAACATCTCCCTGGCTGCAGATTAAGCCCATTGCTTCTTGACCTACCTTCCTGGGACATGGAGAACAATGGGTCACCGTAGTCTTTATAACAACCCTTCGCATACTTGAAGACTGTTCTCAGATCCCCCCCTCAGGCTTCTTTGCTCAGTTGTAACCTTTCCTCATCCGGGTGGACACAGTGAAGTCTGTGTGCTGGGGGAGAGGGACTCCTGGTGATCAGTGCCCCGGGCTGGTTCCCCGGGCCGCTCCTGCAGCTGGGGCGTTTGGGTGCCGCTGGGCCTGGCCCTGCCCTTTCGGCGCTGAGCGTAGCCTCCTGCCCGCAGGGCGATGGCGACAGCGAGTACTCCGACCCCTTCGATGCCCGCCGGGAGCAGCCAGGGGACGCCGAGGAGACGGTGCCGGAGAACAACGGCTACATGGAGCCCTACGACGCCCAGCGGGTGGTGGCAGGTGAGAGACACCAGGGCAGGAGCAGTCTCCAGGGGGACTCTGTGCTGCATGGTGCTGGGCACGGACGCTCCCAGCTGCGACTGAGCCCGGGGTCTGGGGCAGGGCCTCTCGCTCTCACTGGGGGACCTGTGCCCAAGGGGCAGGACAAGGCTGTTATCAACTCCGCTGCCTGGCTAGCTAGCCCCTCGGGTGAGTGGGGGGCACCCAGTGTACCGCCCATGCCCATGGGCACCAGGCACCCAATCTTCCCCCATGCCTGTGGGCACCAGGCACCCAATCTCCCCCCATGCCTGTGGGCACCAGGCACCCAATCTCCCCTCATGCCCATGGGCACCTGGCACCCAATCTTCCCCCATGCACATGGGCACCTGGCACCCAATCTTCCCCCAGGCACATGGGCACCAGGCACCCAGTGTACCCCCATGCATGTGGGCACCTGGCACCCAATCTCCTCCCAGGCACGTGGGCATCTGGCACCCAATGTACCCCTCATGCACGTGGGCACCTAGCACCCAATGTACCCCCATGCCTGTGGGCACCTGGCACCCAATCTCCCCCCATGCCTGT